AAAAAAAAGGAAGTACCTTCACCCGTGTTCCTCAAAATTGCTGAAAGAACTTTAGCTGTATCAACTTCTCTCAAAGCCCCACAACTTATATAAGCGCAGAGCCTCCTACAAGACTTGAACCATGGAGCTTCCAACACAATCCTCTGTATAGCATCATCTGTACGAACAAACCACACAAAACCCACGTCTTAAAGCTACTGATCTCCACAGAAATGTCAAAATTTTCAAACGAAATTAGCTACATAGACCCGATTAGCTGGGCCCATTTATTACCTTCTTGAGATCTGAGCGTCGGGTCCATTGACCTGAGCTCCCTCTTGACTTGGGAGCGTAGGGCCTTTTTCTGCTTGAAAACGGCGTCGAGGGGGGATGCGGCGGTGCTTGCGGCGCTCATGGTGGCGGAGGGGCCGAAGGTCGTGTGGACGGTGGGGGACAGAGGCGGCGATACGGTGGCGGTGGTTGGTGTGAATTTTAGGGGCGTCCGCACAGCTAATCTGTGCAGGAGCCCTATAACAGTCATTTTAACTTTCGCAGCAAGATTATTTAATTTAATTGTTTTTATTTAATTTCTTGAAATGATTCAAAAACTTGTATATTGTGTGGTTCCAATTTCATTAAGCATGTCTATTTACTACACTCTTATTTAAAAAATAAAAAATAAAAAAATATGACAGTTCAAAATAAAATCATGCATAAAACATTAATAAACAAATCATAAATAAAAAAAATAATATTTATAAAGCAATGACAGGAATAAATCACAAATCAATCATTCATAAACTATAATAATTTGTGTTGGTTTTTTGTCGTTGAGGTTTCAAAAGATGAAAAATGACTCCAACCTTGAGGTGCATTGAATTGCTCCGTATTGAGATTCTGCCCGGTTATAGGTAAGGGTGTGTTCGGAAAGGTCTTTCGGGTGAGGATGAAGGGCAAGATTGGAATTGATCAGCTACATTGCTCGTTTCACCGAACATTTTTCTTTTTATCTACTCAGTTTCTTGGTTCGATGAGTCGAGCAGATCGAACTCAGAAGGCTTGGTAGTGAGTGACCAAACGAGCTCGACTAGTTTATCAATTTTGAACTCGAGCTTAAATGAGCCTGTCTAATGTGAAAAGTTTATAAAATTATATAAAAATTCTTATTCTCGAGCCTTAGCGAGTTTCTTTAGCAAGTCTAACTGTGAGAGCCACTAAAGGGAGCAAAAGACCTATACCACAAACTCTCACCATCACAATCGAAGGATAAGATATATATTCTCAGTAAAATCAACACCACAAATAAAAGGACATGCATATTTCAGCTATGGCATTATCTTCTCAACCACATAAGGAAAAAAAGACAGACATAAACAATAACAACCTTGAATTCAAACCACATAAAACAAACAAGTACACAACAACATAAGCCACCATCATCTCTTTCTCCAGACTGTACAATGAAAAGAACAAGATGGATTTCGAGCTGATAACACGAATTTCCTAGTTTCTTAATTTAAAATCCATTACAGACCATAACCGAGTCTAGCTAATCGACACTGGTGCTCTTCCAGCCAGTTTTATTATTTTCTTCAAATTCAAGAACCTCAAGCAACACTGATATAGTTATCACCGTTCTTTAAGCTTGGCATAATCCCATAATCCGAAACGTTTGTAAAGCGATGATCTACATCAGATGAAAGTGAAAGCCTCAAAGATAATGGTAATGGCTCGAGCGGCGCTTCCTGATTTAAGTTGAGATCCACCATTGTTGAGGGAGTAGGTGTGGGAACAGAACGAAAGACCTTTGACGAGGTTTTTATTATGTTTTTCGGAGCAAGACTCGATTTTTCCATTGATTTTTCATCTTGCATCGAGTGTAGAACCAGGCTAGGGGAAGGCTCGACTGAGAATCCCTCGACATTAGCAGCAGCTATTGGTTTTGCATGGCTCTCTTGGTTTTTATTACCCTCTTCGATTTGCATTGCAGTAGCCTAAAAACAACAATAAGTTAGAAAAAGAACAAAACATAAATATATCATATACGGTTACTACGGCTCCGGAAGTTCACTTTTTCTTTTTCCCACTTTTAACCCCAGAAAAGGGGATCTTCTGTTTTCCCAAAAGTAAGAGGAAAAGAACTTAGTGGTCTTCTCTTCAGACCTTTTCAAGAAAATTGCTTTACAGCCAACTTAAAGAACAAAAAATTTGTTTGCTAAACTTTAGCAATAGACAAATCCGACTCAAATTACACAAAGCAACAAGCAAAACACGTTAGATTTCAACATAACTACGTGTTAAGGACCAAAAAAGCATATCTTACTAGAAGGTAAATGCAATGGTCCTCACTCCTCATTGGACCCTTTCCAAGATAACACCAACAGCCAACCCATAATATGAACTCAACCCATAAAATGAACTCAAAAAGGTAAAAAAAATTAAAAAAAATAAAAAAAAAAATTTGTCAAATGTCAAGCAACAGAAAATCCATGTTAAATCCCATGTTCAAACATAAATTGTGAGATAAAGGCTTAAAAATTGAAACTTTAGCACCTGCAGTAACTCAGGACACGCGAATCACACAAACCCGGATCGATTACACAAAACAACAGACGAAAAAAGCGCTAAATTTCAACATAAACTACGCGATCAAGACCCCCAAAAAAGCATATCATCAGTCAAAGTAAACTCGATGCTCCTCACAGTACCCTTTCCAAGAAAATACCAATAGCCAACCAATAATATGAACTAAAAAAGTATAAGCTTACCTCAAGCAACTCCCATGTTCTAACATTATTATGAGATAAAAGACTGAAAATTTGAAACATTTAGCTCCACCTATAGCAAACCCAGAACAGGCAAATTACCGAGTCGGTGGTTATGTCAAAGAGGCTCGATCTCCGGCGGCGGCAGTTGACGTTATTCCGGCGAATGAAGTACTTCTGGGCGTGGCTAGCAACTTGGGTCGGAGTACGAGTTTTCACAAAGTTTTTAGAGATTCCTCTCCAATCTCCCTTACCAACCCTCTCCAACCCAATTAAGAAAAGCCTATGTTCTTCCTCTGTCCATGGAACACCTGAAA